TATCTTCGGAATCGAAAATATGCGTTTGTTAAATAACAAATTTATTGAAAATAATTGAGTAGTGAAAACGAGAAATATGAATTGATGCCGATAAACTTAACCTATTTGTTTTCAGAAGGATAGGCGAAACCTATTTGTTTTCAGAAGGATAGGCGACTTGGACAGTTTCAATCCACATATTACGATATCCCTAATTGTTGCTTGGTTCTTGATCTACCTCTGTGTAATGAAAGGAATCAAGAGCAGTGGAAAGGTGAGAAAATGCTACTGTATATATACATAGAAAAGCTATCGTTCCAATAAGGTCGGATTTAGTCCAGCTCTCTTTGTTTCATTTCATTTAAAAGTTCAGAGAATGGTGTTTTTACATCGGTTCTTGTTTTCCTTGCACTTGAAATTTCAACTGGCACTTATATTTATTTGAATTTGCTTATAATACGTTGGGGCACGATTTACTTGTTTGTTCCACTATTAGAGGGCTGGGTGAAAAATCTATTCGGCTTGAGAACTTCCCTTAGAACGGTAGAAGTTGACAGTCCAGTCTGTTGAACATATATCGTATCCATTTGACATGAAAGCACCTGACGGTGGCGCTACAGGTGCCACACCAAAACATCTACCTACCTATCTGTGTCTATCTTTGTAGCTCCCGCATATTCTTGTACAGTCCATATCCCTTAAACGGACGGGGCGTGTCCACAAAGAACTATGGGCTTAGCCGCGCTAGACAGCTGCCGATTTAGTCAGCGATGCATGTGGCGTATGAGAGCGCAGACGGCGCAAGGAAAGTCGATACACCTCTCACGCTCTCTTCTCTAACAGATACCCAGCCACAGCCGCGTTCGCAGCAATTTACGTGAATACGCCCTCCCCATCTCTGGAAACGAAGTGTAGGTGCAATCACACTAGTTCATACTTCCAGGGGATATTTTCCTCTTAAACAATCACTTCTAACAGTAGTTAATGGATTTTCATAGACATGATTTTATTCATGGATTTGAATATTTATGAAGATGTATTAGTGCGAACTGAATCAGTAAGTATCAATGAATTTGCAGGTAATGTATGCTACAGCGACATTTCCATATCTAGTGACAACGATATTCCTTATTCGTTCTGTCACTTTGGACGGTGCAATGAAAGGACTATGGCATATGATAAATCCTGATGTAAGCTATGAACTTTTGCATTTCGTTAGGTGGACGGTCAACAGGGAGGAAATAGAGCTTGCCTTGGACGAATCGCATTGCCTTGTTGACTCCCAGTGGACGGTCTGTCTTTCGCACGGAATTTTCGATTAAAGGCAGTTGGCACGATAAATCGCTATACAGATGTAGGATTTATACGACTGGCTTAACAGAATTCCGTGACCTCGGACAGGCGCTCCGTGGCGCCTTTTCCAAGGAGGGTACCCCTATAACGCCCTATCGAGCAACAACATTCCGTCCCAAACGCCTTCCTCGCCCGCCCGCCCACAAACGGACGACCGTTCCTGACGCTCGTATTCATTCATTTGCTGAGCAAATTATGAAGCAAAGGGATTGGTATGAAGCGGCCCAGTGATGCTGGCAATGCATACATGGGTGCACATATGCAGCGGTAGCGGTGATTGGCAAGATGCCTACGGGAAACTCGTCCGAAATCGATTTTCAAGTCACTGAGAACGGAGGCTTTTTCTTCGCCGGATGACCGTTTCACTCCGTTCTTTCGCCATTTCCCCACTACATAGCGCCCTACTAGCATTTTAGGCCGAGTGGGAAACCATCGTGCCAACTGCCTCTGAGGCGCAGGTTGACGGGGAATGGAATAGTGCCAAATATGATGCCTCAAATTGGTACTGAAACCTCTAGAGCGAGTTCTGCGCGGTCAAATTTTGCAGGGTTCTTTTTTATGAGCATACCAATTGAGAGGAGGTGTCATGGCCTGGTGGTAACCATCTCGCTAAGGAGAGTGATATCTGCCCTCTGAAAGTTGGGCTACATCCTTTATCCCTTGAAACGAGTCTTCTGCGACTTTGAGAGTTCAAGTTAGTTCTTACACGAGTACAGCTTCGCCCAAGGATACATCGACTTTTGTAAAAATTGTCATGATCTCTGTGAACGAGAGGGCGTATGAAGGGATAATTGGAGCCAAGCCAGAACAGCCTTTGCCGCCAATTGTCGCGTGCTCGGGTTGGTGTCGTTGGTGGGAGAGGCGCTCTAATCCACTCAGGTTACACGCCCTATCGCTTACAGGGATATGACTATCGATTTGCAAAATCATGTGAGGCGCAATTCGACAGTACATCTTGAACCATTGCTTTTTCCAAATATCGAAGAACCATCCACGATTTTGGTGATGTGAGAATGCTGCAACATGAATTTTGTTTTAATTTCAGCTCCACAAACTATACAGTCCTACGGTCTGGCTTGAAGCTGCCACGCAAATTTTCTACAGCATGGGCTTGGGATTTGGAGGTAAATTGAAATCATGCTCTTAATGATATCTACAAATTTCATTTGTTTTATCATCGTGAGCATGTAAATATGGTAGTCAATGCTGATGCACGAGTAGGAAGTGACGATGGACGGTAAACTAATCAATTGCCTTTCTTCTGAGCTCCCCCTTCTAATGTGGTACACGAAAGGAAAGCGCGTCGACAGCGGTGCGCACAACATTGTTTTCTCCGTCCACACTTCGTGCGGGACTGCTGTCTTTAAGATATCCGCTCTGTTTTAGCGGACATATTTAGATCAACTGGGGTGCATACTTAAATTTAACATCTTAAGGGAACTCATTGCCTTGGTTTCTTTACAATCCAGCTTCAATAAACGATTGTTAAAAGCGTGATGCTAAGTGTTAGCATTATGTATGTTCGTCACATACTTTATATGCTCTCGTCCGTATTTCTGTGTACTGGTTATCATGGCCACAATACCAATGAACACTGCATTGAAAAGTAAGTCATCTTCTTTGTTTTTTCTATCTGCAATTTTGAAATGCTTACAGTCGCTTAGGATGCTATAGATTGTCAGGAGGGCTGGGACTGGCCTGGCGCGAGCCAGTTTTCCACCAATTGTCGTCGCTCTCCCGCTTCCACAGTCGTTGGCGCCGTGCCAAAGCCAGCCTTTCCTGACACGCTCCGGAGTCACAGGCAACAGTGCCTGTAAGATTGTGTGGTGAAAATGTCGCAGCATAAACCCTGAGCATCGTTTTCAATTGCAAGCATCGAAAAATTCCCTCATGCCGAGGGACCCTCACAATCAATTTTCCAGGCCTTACAGTCAAGCATCAGCACTGCTGGAATTGTTGACGAAAATAATGTGTCTAATAATTGTGTAAATAAGGACTTGCGTACGTCTCACAGCACTTGTCAGTGTTTACGGTCGGTTCGCTGCAGACGCTGGGGCGTGTCAGGGAGGCAGAATTAGATGTGGCGCCGACCCGCTCGCCACCAATTATCTGAGCGGGCAAGCGGTGACTATTGGTGGAAATCGGGTTGCCGTCGCGCTAAACCCAGGCTCCTGGCAAGCCTCAGCACTTTCAGTGAAATCGGTTATCCAGGCGTTCATTTATATTGCATAACACTATGGCTGTCCTTTCGACTGGCATTAAAACCATTTTTGACTGCGCTATTTTACTGCCACAATTTGCAACGGAAATATTGCCCAAGTGGCACTGAAATATGGGCAAACGACGCCTCAGTCTAGACTTGAACGAGGACCTTGTGATTCTACTCCTTGTGCTCACTAGTTACACAAATGTGCTGATATCCTTCAACTTGATTCTTCGTACTTTAAAGAAATTCGCAGCTCATTGCAGCATTACACTTGCTTCATGATCAGTGCGCGAACGCGCCGACAGGTCACATGGCAGTTTTCACTCTGCAGCGGAGGTATCTGTTTCAATCGGCGGATCCCATTCCCTGACCGAATTTTTGCAACTTTTTGTAGCCGCTTGTGGAGGCTCAGGGTTCTTTGACAGCTTTTACTGCACAGCGTTCTGCATTTGGCTATCAGACCTCACAAGGATTTCTGTCAAAAGCATTCGAGCATAACAGGACTTACGACATGTTTTGCAACATGGAAAACTGAACTTAAAGACACATTGCGCCCAGATTACCCGTTAACCAGAATTTTTCAGCGTGAATAAGGAGGTTAGGCAGTTGCAAATACATGATGCACCACTTCGTTACTCGAAAGTAGGCGGTAATTAGCCTAGAGGGGCTCGATCAGACCGATTCCACCCATAATATTTGGATATCCACCTTCGTTGTTTATACTCTCTCGTCCGCAGCTGTGTCGCTCGCTTGCGCCACTGGGCGTCTCTGTGTCTCTTCATGCTAGTCCAATGCTGACAATTGACTGGGGCTCAGTTGGGGCATTTTTTGACGGATCTTCTGTTTCTTCCCCACGAACAGATCAACTGTCATGTACTAGTGCTTATTTGAAACTCAGCGCTCACAGACTGAACTCGAGTGATATGTCTTTAGTTCAGTATTAGCTCAACAGTTCTGTGGAAGGGACACTAACTGAAAAAGCCTTTCACGAGCAGCTTTCGTGATAAGAACCATCATAGTTACAATGAAACAGTCAAGCTCTTTTTCCCTCACTAATAATGTTCCCTGATACCCTAATAAAGTTCAACGCTTTGACAGTTTCACGTTTCAAAAATGCTAGACGTCTCGATTTTAATTTATTCATTTATTTACTTATTTGATTTTCATGTTGATTTTTCAGAGATATGCAAATAATGGTCTCTATATTCCCAGAGAACTTTTCCTCTGTTGCCGATGTCCGGAAAATGTTTACTGAAGAACAATATATAGAAGTATGGTTTTTATAATACTCTGACTTTATTTTCATCTAATTCCGCCGATAATTCGTTTTTTTGTGTTTTTTGAGTTCGGAGAGAAATGCTTTTTGTATTTTAGCTTATGCAGAACAAGTTCACCGGGGAATTCACCAAAATGGCCGCTCACTCTCAAATGTGCAACTACGCGACCATTATATCTGAGGTATTTTTTCAATTAAATTTCACCCAAATTTCCTTCCAAAGTTCGGGCAGCGGTTTTAACATCTCGGAATTCAATCTCAATCTCCCTTAAAGAATTTTATAGCAGGAATTTTCAGCTGAATTTGATTTTCCACAATATAAGGATTAGTTGGTATTTTTTGAAATTTCTTTAGTACTAATTCAGGAATTGGTTGTTTCAATTAATATGAATTCGTAAATTTTCTTCGCGATACTTCCGACATGTTTACTGTTTAAATATTTAACGATTGTTATCAACGGAGTCTGGTATAATTAGACGAACAGTAACATTCAAGGTGTTGAAAAGTGAAACAATTATTTAAAACAAAAGGCGTTCTCATAGTGATGAAAAACATGGAATGAAAAAACAAAAGAGAAACGATAAAAGATGATAAGCAGAAACGTGGCTCTCAATTAAATGAAGAAAGGGAATATTTGAAGGCTGCTGAGGGTATGGCTAGCTTTTCGTCGTGTTCACCGAAGCAATTATGAAGTTCCCGTTTCCACCAGCTTGGTCGATTCTCTTCTTCCTAATGCTTCTTTCTCTCGGTCTCGGAAGCATGTTTGGTAATTTTCTTCACACTTTTTTTTCTGACTTTTTTTGGATGTAATATAGTTTATCTTTTACAATTTCAGTCCACGCTAAAAGTTCGAGTTTCCATAGCACACAGGTTAAATCTCAAAGAAGGCCGCGCCATTAAGGCCTAAAGCCAGAGGTTTCCTAATGTGAAAGTGGTGTGGAGGGGAGGTGCAGGCCCGCGATCGAAATGGACCAGGTCCCTAATCGTAGATGAGAACCTAAAAATTAGCAAACATTGAGTAGGAATGTTCAATCACAATCTGCAACTGCACATGGGCAATAATCGTTCTTTCATGAACTTGTACTCTCTAAGAGACTCTATAAGAGTTGAGGGAGTGGATGAGGCAACAGGCCTTCGAAGTCCATTGTTTTCAAGAGAATAAACGTCTTGTTATCTTGTCTGATGGTAAATTGAGTTCTTGAAGGCTCCACTTGTATACGGAATTTTCATCGTTACCTTACACGATAATTTCACTAACTTATCACATGAGCCTTCGTAGGTGGGGGTTCATATCGACTCGCTTCAAGCTGGAGAGAGTACGGGCTCGCCAACCGGCGACGCTATGGGGCCGTAAATGATTCGAAACTGAAAGTGCTGTTTGTTGAGTTCAAATACCAGTTCATACATGCTCGCAGCAACCCTGTACACACTTCGACAGTCACCATAACTGTAATAATTCTGGTTATAGAGGGGATGGATTCTATTTTAGTTATGCTTTTTGAGGAGCTTGATGTGTCAATAGGTTTTCCACGTAGGTCTTTGAATTTCAGGTACGCTTGAGGGAGTCATTACTTTCTCTAATGACTTCGCATTTGATCACTGGTCACCAAACAGTGCCACAGCCGTACTTTTGCTTCTGCATGCCTCATCGGACTGCTTTTTTCAACTCGAGCTGGACAGGTGGGTTGAAATATGTTTCGCATTATCGACTTGCATTGATCTACCCTGGATTCCTCTTTAATAAGAAAAGAAGTTTGTGAAGGTGATACGGAAACAGCAGAAAATTCATATTTCTTAAGTAATGGCGCATTTACATTTGGTAATTGTCGCAACAAAATCGAGCGGTGAGTCAGGGAGGCTTTACGGTAAGGTGGCATTACCCGCAACGGCTCTCTACGATGTTTGTCTTCTTCCTGAATTTGACCCATTGACATTACTGTTAGTGGAATGCAGTTAGGAGGGATTGCTAAGTCGGTCAAAGAGACTCCACCCGTTCTGTACATCCCCCTCATTTACTATCAGTCACACTACGGCAGTACGGATAATCGAATAATAAAGTCCTAAAAACACAGTTACAGCTTTTTGTTAGTATCCGCGTATTCCAATCATTCTATTTCCACTCAAAGTACCTTATTATCCTAAAATTATTTACAAGCGCACCCTAGACAGCAAGAACACACAAAAATACAGCTCTCAAAGCAAAGGTGCGGCTTTATACACGGATTTCGTCTTGTCATCCTAGAAAATAAGATAATTTTTCATTCCCAAACACCAGAGGTTTATTGTCAAATACCCTATCTTTTCAGTATTGGGTAGCGCTATTCGACTCATTTGCCGGTTCGTACGCACTGATGTGCGTGGCCTTTTTCGAGGTGATCGCCGTTGTCTACGTTTATGGATATAGACGGTACCTTACTTTTTAATTTTTATTTTTCTTCAGCATGTCTACGTAATTTTTACTTTACAGTTTCTCTCGAGACATTGACTTTATGACTGGTTCGACTCCTGGTCAATACTGGTTGATAACCTGGCGTTTTGTCGCTCCAATCATCATGGCCGTCTTGTTCACATGCAGCGTTGTACAAAGTTTCTCAAATCCAACAACATACTATGCTTATGAGAGAGAAACGGTAAAGTTTAATATAGTGCGGTAAATTTGAACATAGTAAAGAACTCGAATTATTAAGATCAATACCGCTTACTCCCTATAGCAGTAACTCTTACTCACTCGCGCCATGCATTCTACTTCCATCCAAAATTGCAACGACATTGTGAATATGTATACACCGGAAGCAGCCGATCTGCCTTGTTCGCTGCGGATGCTGAGGCGTTCCAGTGGAGCATGTGGTTTGACGCGGCGCCAGCCAGTTTTGCACCAATGGTGGTCGAAGGCCAGCTTCGCTAATTGGTGGGGAACGGAATGGCGCCTTACCAAACCCGCCCCCTCCCTGACACGCCCAACGTCTGCTGCGATCAAGGCTCTACATGGGAATGTTTAGTATTCCTGGCTTGACACGACCCCTTGGAAATAGCCGGCCTTACCCGGCCTCGGCGAGATTCTGAGGACTGAGGTGATCCCTCGGCCCTGTATTGTTGAAAAAGAATTTGCTGCAGCTCCACTTCCACCCACCCTTATCTTTCCAGTATATTGCTTATTAGAGGCGCTCCAGCTGACTAGCGGTTTTTGAAGCTCAGAGGAGGAGGCAGAAGTGCCACAAAATCCGATCAATAAGGACTAGACAAGAAGCGTCGCCACCCACAATTGAGTGCTCATCAACCGAGTCTATTATGTTTGGCGCTCCATCAAGTATGCAGTCCAGCGCTTTTTATGCATTTGGTCTGTGATCAGCTAAGCTGAGACGAGTGCCGAGGCCTAGACCCGCGTCTTTCACTGCAGCAACGACCACCTTGACGGCAGTTGGCACGATAATTTGGCACTTGGCCTGAAATGCTAGCAGGGCCCTATAGTGGGAAAATGGCGAAAAAACGAAGTGAAACGGTCAAAAACCTGCGAAGAAAAGCCTTCGTTCTTAATGACTCGAAAAGCAATTTCGGACGAGTTTCCCGTAGGCATCTTGCCAATAACGCTACGGTAGGTACGGCTGCACGTATGTATTATATCCATGCAGCACCGCAGCCGCTTCATATCAATCCCTTCGCTTCATATTTTACTTAGCAAATGAAGCAATACGAGCATCAGGTACGGTCGTCCATTTGTGGGCGGGCGTGGGCGTTCGAGTCAGTTGTTGTAGCTTGTAGGGCCTTATGAGCGCAACTTCCTTGGAAAAGGCGCTACGCAGCGCCTGCTTAGGGTCGCGAACTCCGT